CGGAAAAATGCATTTGCCCATGAAAGGAAAGCGTTATGCAGACGTAGAGGCCATTCAAAAGGCTTGTACCGGCATACTGGCGGCCATATCGGCCAACGAGCTAAAACTCTCGTTCGACATGCTTTTGGATTGTGCAAAAAGCTCTATTGAAGCAGAAGCAGAGTATTTTGAATAAAATAAATTGATTTTGCCGAAAAAACCATTTGTTCTGTTTTTTTATACTCTGTACATGAAATGTACAGAAGTATATTAGGTTTGCGGGAGCTGAAAATTGTAACAGGCATAAGGAGGCGTGGTAGACCCCACAAAGTATATATATTCTTGATCAGCATGACGAGACAAGTCGATCTAGCCCTGTCTGTCTGTCCGTCCGTATGAACACATGGATCTCAGAGACTATAAGAGATAGAGACACCAAATTTTCCACAAAGATGCCTTATGTGTGTATTCTATACGAGTTTGTTTTATTTTTTTTATTTTCCCCCCACTTCCCCCCTATGGGGGTTTTCCCGATTTTCCATTCGTATAATCGCCTATATCTAAGAGACTATAAGACCTACGGACACCAAATTTTAGTCCAAGATGCCTTATGAGAATACGCAGAAAATGTGCTGCCCAAGCGCTGCCCGCGGCTGTTGTTGATGTTGCTGTTTGGTTGACTGCGAAAATGCTTACAAAGACACAAATAGACGCGCATAAACATTCATACACTCACATAGACGCAATTGCTTTGTATATGTGCAATTATACACCCTTTACGTGAGTTCGAATACCAAAAGAGGTAAAATCGATCAAATTTTTTTTTGTTAATTCTTTTACTTTTTTAATTTCTATAATTATTCTAAACATACATATGTACAGAGTATTTCAAAGTCGGGACACCCGACTTTAGTTTTTATACTCTGTACATGAAATGTACAAGAGTATATTAGGTTTGCGGGAGCTGAAAAATGTAACAGGCAGAAGAAGGCGTGGCAGACCCCACAAAGTATATATATTCTTGATCAGCATGACGAGACGAGTCGATCTAGCCCTGTCTGTCTGTCTGTCCGTCTGTCCGTCCGTATGAACACCTGGATCTCAGAGACTATAAGAGATAGAGACAGCAAATTTTGCACAAATATGCCTTATGTGTGTATTCTATACGAGTTTGTTTTATTTTTTTGATTTTCCCCCCACTTCCCCCCTATGGGGGTTTTCCCGATTTTCCATTCGTATAATCGCCTATATCTAAGAGACTATAAGACCTACGGACACCAAATTTTAGTCCAAGATGCCTTATGAGAATACGCAGAAAATGTGCTGCCCAAGCGCTGCCCGCAGCTGTTGCTGATGTTGCTGTTTGGTTGACTGCGAAAATGCTTACAAAGACACAAATAGACGCGCATAAACATTCATACACTCACATAGACGCAATTGCTTTGTATATGTGCAATTATACACCCTTTACGTGAGTTCGAATACCAAAAGAGGTAAAATCGATCAAATTTTTTATACTCTGTACATGAAATGTACAAGAGTATATTAGGTTTGCGGGAGCTGAAAAATGTAACAGGCAGAAGGAGGCGTGGCAGACCCCACAAAGTATATATATTCTTGATCAGCATGACGAGACGAGTCGATCTAGCCCTGTCTGTCTGTCTGTCCGTCTGTCCGTCCGTATGAACACCTGGATCTCAGAGACTATAAGAGATAGAGACACCAAATTTTCCACAAAGATGCCTTATGTGTGTATTCTATACGAGTTTGTTTTATTTTTTTTATTTTCCCCCCACTTCCCCCCTATGGGGGTTTTCCCGATTTTCCATTCGTATAATCGCCTATATCTCGGAGACTATAAGACCTAGGAACACCAAATTTTAGTCCCAGATGCCTTATGTGAATACGCAGAAAATGTATATTTTGGAATTCCCCTCCCTCCCCCCTCTACCCCGCAAATCGTAACTCCCGTAATTCTTGGAATTTCGAAATTTGGAAATACCCCCAGGTGGTTATTATGTGTCCGTATGCCAAATTTCATTATGATAGACCGATTAAACAAGAAGTTATAGCCATAAATATATTTGCTGATGCAGCGCTGCTGCAGCGCTGCTCAAGCGCTGCCCGCGGCTGTTGTTGATGTTGCTGTTTGGTTGACTGCGAAAATGCTTACACATACACGAATAGATGCGCATAGGCATACATACACTCACACAGACGCAATTGCTATGTAAATGTTCAAATATACACCCTTTACGTGAGTTCGAATACCGAGAGAGGTAAAATCGATCAAATTTTTATACCCTGTACCCGTAGGGTAAAAAGGGTATATTAGGTTTGTGCAAAGTATGTAACATGCAGAAGGAAGCATCTCCGACCCCATAAAGTATATATATTCTGAATCAGCATGACGAGAGAAATCGATCTAGACATGTCCGTCCGTCCGTCTGTCCGTCTGTCCGTCCGTCTGGATGAACGCGAGGATCTCAGAAACTATAAAAGCTAGAATAACCAAAGTTGGCATCCAGATTCTCCTAGGTCCGAGAAAGGACGAGTTTATTTTTTTTTTTGGAATTTTCCCCCCCTTCCCCCGCTACAGAATTTCGTCAATAGCGTCCACATTTCAAATGCTACCTAAACCAAACTTTGCACACATAATTTATATATAATTGTCTACTGTTGTTCAAAATTTTATTCAATTCGGTCAATTCTAAGAAAAATTATTAGCCAAACAAATTCTCGCCAGTACAACCTCCCCAAACTGCAGCAACAAGTTCGCTCTTCTTCTTCCTCTTTTTGCTACTGCTATGGGCGCATATAACTCAGTGACGGAAGTTTACCTGGGTACAGGGTATTACACTGTCGGGCTTGCTCGACTGTAGCGTTCTCTCTTGTTTTTGTTTATTTTCTTAATTTTTTTTAATTTCTATATTTATTCTAAACATATGTACAGAGTATTTCAAAGTCGGGACACCCGACTTTAGCTTTTTTACTTGTTTTACTTACTTACTGATATCCCGTTATTTCTTGCTGTGTGATTCGCCGAGAGCATTTGTGCGTTATCATTTATATGTATGTATGTCTGTCGCCGAGCAACCGATGTCGCCGCTTTGTAAGAATGTATGATGATGTACACCAAAGCAATTTTGTTCGATCGTAGAATGTTTGTATGTGTGAAGTTCGTAAGACTGGGGATTTCCGCACGTCCTTAAGTGTATTTATTGAGACTGGCCTCCTATATGTGTATGTTCTATTGGGACTGGGGATTGCCGCACGTCTCCATTATGTGTATGTTCAGACTAGGGATTGCCGCACATCTGTATGTATTACACCAGCAATCTTGAAATTGTGAAATAACGGATCCCCTCATAGGCCACCATAAAATGTTGTGTCGTTACTCGTTTGTAGCGGCAACGATGAGCAAACTGCCTTTAACTGATCAGGGGTGTAACGTTATATCGTTTTATTGTAATTTCAAAGCCTAACCTACATTGTAATTCACGGAATTTATATCTAATTGTTCCGGCACACACATAAAGCGTCTACTCGATTCGGTCGCACACTTCGAACTCTTCCGTGCACACACCACACGTCCAATCACTTCGGTTGCTCAACTCGAACTTTTTGTATTTATCGAGCCAAAGATCGAAAAGGTTTTTATTAATTTTCGATATTGGGCATCCTTCGTCGGCCAAAGACCAGGGCTACGATAAATGGCAGCTGCCGGTTAAAAATAGATTGTAAAATCTTCCAGTCGGCCTGGCCCAATCTTCACATCATTCTATTCTCACATCATCGTCGATGCTTCTGTCACCATCCGTGTGAAAGGCATGCTCTTGGACCTCGCATACAGAAAGATCTACTATTACGGTATATTCATTGGTCTGACCACCACAGTGCTCATCAAATAGAACATCTCGTTTCTCGACAATCGTCCTCGCCTCTGGGTCGTACAATCGATAGCCATTTGCTGCTACCGAATACCCAAACATTCGGTATTCATGCCCTTTGGTTTAAATTTGCGACGGAACCGAAAAATGAATGGCTAAAACAGGGCTTCTTCCCAGTCATCCCACTCTTCCATTGAAATCAGGTTGTGCAGGTCACTGGTACGTGACCGTTGTGAACGTTATGTTGTAGAACTCGCCTCCATTGTTGGTTCAAATATATTTGAGCTTTTTATCTGTTTGCCGTTCAACCAAGTTTTTGAATTCGATGAACTTATTGAACACTTCAACTTTCTTGCGCAAAAAGTAAACAAATACATATATGCCTAGACTAGTCATAGATGAAGGTTAGAAAGTATTTGGATCCAGCAAATGACATTATGTCAAATGGGCCCCATACATCTGCATGAACCACCGGTTAGTGCTTACCTTTGGAAACGGCTGTACATGTATTTTACTTAGAATACCACCAATAGCACGAATTAGCTCTTTCAGGCTCATTCAGACAAATTTTAGTCCAAGATGCCTTATGTGAATACGCAGAAAATATTTTGGAATTTCCCTCCCTTCCCCCTCTCCACTACAATTAGTGATTTTCCATTATTCCCGTGTTTCTTGGAATTTTTTATTGAAATTCGTTAGTTAGTTAGTGATTATGTGTCCGTATGCCAAGTTTCACTATGATAAACTGATAACAAGAAGTTATAGCCATAAATATATTTGCTGCCCAAGCGCTGCCCGCAGCTGTTGTTGATGCTGGTTGATGATTTGGTTGACTGCTAACATGTTTACACAGACACGAATAGATGCGCATAGGCATACATACACTCACACAGATGCAATTGCTATGTAAATGTGCAATTATACACCCTTTACGTGAGTTAAAATACCGAGAAAGGTAAAATCGATCGAAAAATTTTTTTTTTTAATTCTCTTAATTTTTTTAATTTCTATAATTATTCTAAACTAATATGTACAGAGTATTTCAAAGTCGGGATACCCGACTTTAGCTTTTTTACTTGTTTTTTTGTTTATTATTATATTATTAAATATGATTTTTATGATAATTTGCAGGAAGGAAGCATTGGTCACGATTTCGTCATTAAGCCTCTGCTACATAATATTAGCTCCAACAATGAGGTGCTTCACCATATCGTTTACAAACGTGAAGTAGATGATTTAGCCAATGAAATGAGTGATTTTGGTAAGTTAACAAAATAGCTTGGATTATTTTAGTACAATGTTATATATGGGTGAAATGGGTTTTCAATAGACGGGACAGGGCTTCGACCGATGTTTCCCCACTTTATAAGCCTAACTAATGGAATGTTGGAATGTTGTTGTATGCATGCTTTATGGAATTACTCAATTTTACAAGAAGTTATATACCTAGCCACAGGGTCCTTTGTAAGGAGGAACTGGATGCCAAGATTGGTTATACTCTCTATGAATGTGAATTTGGGTCAAATAATCGGTCACAAGCGTCGATCGATTCTGAGCAATTTTTGGTCGTCAGTCAATTTGTGCGGAACAAACCCAAATGTTCGGTCAAAATGCGATAAATCGATGTTTTGGAGATGTTCAATTCCATTTCCATCAATTTCAATGATGATTTCGGCTGATTTTTGATGAATTCACGCACAGTTTCGATAGAATTTTCGGTGATCACGAATTTTAATTGGCCCACATGTTGATCGTCATTTATGTCCTCACGACCACTTTGAAAACGCTGAAACCACTCGTGCACTCTGCTACGGGATAGGCACTCATCGCCATAAACTTGTTCCATCAATTGAAACGTTTCGGTAAATGTTTTACCAATTTTAAAACAAAATTTAATGTTGGCTCTTTGTTCGAAGCTCATTCTCGCACCGATAACACAAACATACTGACACTTAAAACGCAATAACTTCCCTTCCAATCGATGAAATGTCATGAAATTCTCACTGGACAATCGATAAAGATAGCAGATTCTAACGCACCAGTCGACATATAGACATATAGATAGCACCATCAGGGGGCGCTAGATTCAAAAAGTCCTGTTTACTTTGAAACTCACTTTGTATTTTCTATAATCCTTGTGTTCATACAGACGGACATGGCTATAACGACTCGTCTTGTCGTACTGATCAAGAATATCTATATTTTCTGTGGTCTGCCACGCCTCCTTCTCCTTGTTTCATTTTTCATTTCCTGAAAACCAAATATACTCTTGTACATTTCATGTACAGAGCATAAAAATGTGGAAGAGGGTATTTAAGAATTGAGCCCGCTTGACTCTAGTATTACTTTCTTCTTTTAAAACGAAGAAGTCCACTGTTAAACCCAGAATATATGATATATATGATATTTCTCTGTCGACACTCTCTAAAGTTTCTAAAGAGTTCCTAAACAGCAAAGTACTTTGGTACGATTGGAGATCTAGGACATAAAGTACAATAAATACTATGTATGGTTATATGTACATACATATGTATGTATATTTATGTATATACTTGTAGTATGATAGGGATACATCAAGGCAAGTAATTTCTAGAATTAAAAGCTGTACAATTTGGCAAAGTTATTTGGTCAATTTATGCAACTGCACAACATTTAAATGAGCATACACACATACATACATACGTATATCATAATTATTTCTTTATTCTTTAATGAAAAGTTACAAATATACAACGCAGTTTATCTTGTATTCTTTCTCAAAGTAAATATATAAACCAAGTTTTCCAGTTTTCTAAAACCACTTCTTGGTGCTCATCCACACTTTGAGAACTTTTTAACGCTTACCATTTGGGCTGTGCGTTGATTGCACCTTATCGTGACAGATTACGTTTGATCGATCTCCCTACCTTGCACCATCGAAGAACCTGGTGTAGTTTTTATTTACAAGCTACTGGCGGGAGAATTCTCTTCAGGCAACCTAATTCATCGTATAAGCTTCGTAGTTCCCTCTAGACCTTCAAAAATTTCCGGCCTCTACATCTTCTGCGCTGTACGTCAAATTTCGCCCTTTACTCTCCTTCTTCTGTGTTCAAATTATAATGAACTCTACCATTTAATTTCTTTTATACAATCCCCTAGTAACTTAAGCAGTAACATCCTTTTTTACTTAACTAATCATCATTAAATAAACTTGCACTAATGCAATACTAATCACTCGCTGTGAGTCGGGCACAGCGGCCTATTTCGGCGACTAAAATACCCCATTAAGATAAGTACTGTATTACTACATTTTTATACTCTGTACATGAAATGTACAGAAGTATATTAGGTTTGCGGGAGCTGAAAAATGTAACAGGCAGAAGGAGGCGTGGCAGACCCCACAAAGTATATATATTCTTGATCAGCATGATGAGACGAGTCGATCTAGCCCTGTCTGTCTGTCTGTCCGTCTGTCCGTCCGTATGAACACCTGGATCTCAGAGACTATAAGAGATAGAGACACCAAATTTTGCACAAATATGCCTTATGTGTGTATTCTATACGAGTTTGTTTTATTTTTTTGATTTTCCCCCCACTTCCCCCCTATGGGGGTTTTCCCGATTTTCCATTCGTATAATCGCCTATATCTCGGAGACTATAGGACCTAGGAACACCAAATTTTAGTCCAAGATGCCTTGTGTGAATACGCAGAAAATGTATATTGCGATTTTCTCTAACTCCAGTAATTCTTGTAATATTAATGAACGTGTGGCTTACGCCCTTGTGTGTTGGTAACCGTAAACAAATTTAAAATCGATCGAACAACATTAATAACACAAACTTTTCATTTGAAAAATAGTAAAGAAATATAATTATTATATTATTAAAATAATTCAGTGCCAAAGACAAATTTCAAACAAGTAAAAAAGCTAAAGTCGGGTGTCCCGACTTTGAAATACTCTGTACATATGTTTACAATAATCATAGAAAATAAAAAAAAAAAAAAAAAAAAGAATAAAAAAAATTGGATCGATTTAACCTCTCTCGGTATTCGAACTCACGTAAAGGGTGTATAATTGCACATTTACATAGCAATTGCGTCTGTGTGAGTGTATGTATGCCTATGCGCATCTATTCGTGTCTGTGTAAGCATTTTCGCAGTCAACCAAACAGCAACATCAACAACACCCGCGGGCAGCGCTTGAGCAGCGCTTGAGCAGCGCTGCAGCAGCAAATATATTTATGGCTATAACTTCTTGTTAAATCGGTTTATCATAATGAAACTTGGCATACGGACACATAATTACTAACTGGGGGTATTTGCAAAAAATTAGTTCGAAATTCCAAGAATTACGGGAATTAGAGAAAATCGCATTTGCGGGGGAGAGGGGGGAGGGAGGGAAATTCCAAAATATACATTTTCTGCGTATTCACACAAGGCACCTTGGACTAAAATTTGGTGTTCTTAGGTCTTATGGTCTTCGAGATATAGGCGATTATACGAATGGAAAATCGGGAAAACCCCCATAGGGGGGAAGTGGGGGGGGAAAATCAAAAAAATAAAACAAACTCGTATAGAATACACACATAACGCATCTTCGTGCAAAATTTGGTGTCTCTATCTCTTATAGTCTCTGAGATCCAGGTGTTCATACGGACGGACAGACGGACAGACGGAGAGACAGACAGACAGGGCTAGATCGACTCGTCTTGTCACGCTGATCAAGAATATATATACTTTGTGGGGTCTGCCACGCCTCCTTCTGCCTGTTACATTTTTCAGCTCCCGCAAACCTAATATACTCTTGTACATTTCATGTACAGAGTATAAAAACCGAGTATGCAGGACACCCGACTTTAGCTTTTTTACTTGTTTTGTAATATTTTATAAAAAAAACTAAATTTGAAGTTGATCGGTGGAAAACTGAAGAATTTTCAAACAAACTTTGGAGATAGTTTTCCCTCCTTTGGAGATCCAACAAGTAAAAGAGCTAAAATCCCGATTTTGAAATACTCTTTACATATGTTTAGAATAATTATAGAAATTTAAAAAAAAATTTTGATTGATTTTACCTCGCTCGATGTTCAAATTCACGTAAAGGGAGTATAATTGCACATATACATATACAATTGCGTCTATGTGAATGTATGTATGTGTATGCGCGTCTATTCGTGTCTGTGTTCGCATGTTTGCAGTCAACCAGCACCAGCACCAACAACAGCTGCGGGCAGCGCTTGGGCAGCAAATATATTTATGGCTATAACATATTGTTAAATCGGCTATAACTTCTTGTTAAATCGGTCTATCATAATGAAACTTGGCATCGGACACATAATCACTAACTGGGGGTATTTGCAAAATTTGAGTTCGAAATTCCAAGAATCACGGGTTGTGGTGGAGAGGGGGGAGGGAGATAAAAAAAATCGATTACCGTTAGAGAGAGCATGGGAAGAGATAATAAACAACAACCCTTTCCTTGCAATATTTACAGTTATATTAAAATATTGTTTTCTGCATGGTGCATAACTATAGCTGCACTACTTAGATTCTCATTCTTTTTTTGGCTGGCGACAGTTTGTTCTGTAAGGATATTATTGGGCACTTTTTTCTTTAAATTAAATAAAAATGGCAAGAGGATCACTTCTTTCTGATATTGATCAAGATGCCTTCTGTGAATACGCAAAAAATGTGTATTTTGGAATTTCTCTCCCTCTCCCTAGCAAATCGAAATAGAGGAGTTTTCCTGTAAAAAAATGTTGGGGCACAAAAGGAAACCGCGTCAACAGCCCACAGCCCAAGAGCTACAAAGCTGAAATTTGGGCTCAAGTATCCTATAAAAAATTCGAGTTCCAAAGGGGAGACAATAGGTTCCAAAGTTTGTATGAAAAATCTGCATTCGACTTCAAACTTAGTTTGTATACTCTCCGAATAATTCCAAGAAAAACTGTATACTTGGTTTTTTGAAGTTTTTATACTCTGTACATGAAATGTACAGGAGTATATTAGGGTTGCGCGAGCTGAAAAATGTAACAGGCAGAAGGAGGCGTGGCATACACCACAAAGTATATATATTCTTGATCAGCATGACAAGACGAGTCGATCTAGCCTAGCCCTGTCTGTCTATCTATCTGTCTGGCTGTCCGAATGAACACCTGGATCTCAGAGACTATAAGAGCTAGAGACACCAAATTTGATGCCAAGATGCCTTATATGAATACGCAGAAAGTGTGTATTTCTTGCATCCGCCCACGCACCAGCAAATAGTTATTTTCCTTAACTCTCGTAATTCTTGAAATTTTTGACTGAAATTTGGCAAATACCTTCAAATGGTGATTATGTGTTCGTATGTCAAGTTGGCAAAACGGGCAGCTGTAATGTAATAAACAAAAAAAATTTGAATGCGAATAATTATATACCTTTTTTTCAGAATATGGAGTCCTAACTACTTTAAGTTCGGAATCGTGAAACAAAATAATTTAGGATTTCTTTATCTCCCTTAACTTCCTTTCAATAATTGCTCTGATGTGAGCTTGCAAAAACTGAGCTTCTATTCAACTGAGAAACATCCGAATTCTTTTTAGAAAATTAACTAAGCTTGTTAATATAAATTGAGACTAGCTCCCATTATAAAAACAAGAAAGGAATGCTAAAGGCAGGCTGAACTCTTAAATACCCTGTACCACCCCACAAAAAAATAAATTAATTAAATTAATTAAATAAAAATTACGTAATTAATTAAATAAATTAAATATAAAATATTCCATACATACATACATACATTTACATTTACATCAGAATCTATGTGTGTTTGTGCACTTGTACATATGTATGTATGTATGTGTGTGTGCATTGAGCCTGGTTATATGGCTATAACTTTCTTTCTGATCAACCCATCAAATGAAACTTATTATACGGATATATAATCACTATCTGGATGTGTTTACCAAGTTTTAGTTCAAAATTCCAAGAAATACGGGAGCTATAGAAAATAGGAGGGAGTGGGGGGTGCATCGGGAAAAATGAACAAACTCGTCCTTTCTCGGGCTCAGGAGAATCTGTATACCAAGTTTGGTTATTCTAGCTCTTATACTTTCTGAGATCCTTGCGTTCATACAGACAGACAGACGGACATGGCTATATCGACTCGGTTTGTCATGCTGATGAAGAATATATATACATTATCTACCACGCCTCCTTCTGTGTGTTCCATGTGCACTCGCACAAAACTAATATACCCTTGTACCCTTTGGGTACAGGGTATAATTACATATATTTGAAAAGCACCAAATTTTACTCTCGACCGTTTGAATGCCCTTTTTATACCCTGTACCCGTAGGGTAAAAAGGGTATATTAGGTTTGTGCAAAGTATGTAACATACAGAAGGAAGCATCTCCGACCCCATAAAGTATATATATTCTGAATCAGCATGACGAGAGAAATCGATCTAGACATGTCCGTCCGTCTGTCCGTCTGGATGAACGCAACGATCTCAGAAACTATAAATGCTAGAATAACCAAAGTTGCCATCCAGATTCTCCTAGGTCCGAGAAAGGACGAGTTTATTTTATTTTTTTTAATTTTCCCCCCCTTCCCCCGCCACAGAATTTCGTCAATAGCGTCCACATTTCAAATGCTACCTAAACCAAACTTTGCACACATCATTTATATATAATTGTCTACTGTTGTTCAAAATTTTGTTCAATTCGGTCAATTCTAAGAAAAGTTAGTTCAAGAGCGAACTTGTTGCTTAAGTTTGGGGGGGTTGTACTGGCGAGAATTTGTTTCGCTAATAACTTTTCCTTGCGTTCATCCAGACGGACAGACGGACGGACATGTCTAGATCGATTTCTCTCGTCATGCTGATTCAGAATATATATACTTTATGGGGTCGGAGATGCTTCCTTCTGCATGTTACATACTTTGCACAAACCTAATATGCCTTTTACCCTACGGGTACAGGGTATAAAAAAATGTTCAAACTGTTAAATTGTTATTCACTATTTATCTTTTGTTCATATCCAAAGGAAAATTTTATATTAAAACCTGCGGTACGAGTAACAACTAAATTTCTTGTGTATTTCTTCTTTACAGCCTACATGGAACCCGACGATGTGTTGACAAGCGGAAAAATAGACCGGCTGCAGCATCGTAAGAAACGTACTACAACCGAGCGTAATCGCGACAATTTCAAAACTTACGACAATTTAAGCAAAAGTGCTGGGGCTGCAGTTGATTCCGATTCTCAAACAGCAGGTTTACATAATAGGGCCAGACGTCAAGCTCCTTATATTATTTATCCAGAAGTTCTGGTGATTGTTGACTACGATGGCTATCGGTTGCATGGTGGTGATAATTTGCAAGTACGTTCTTCAAATAATAAATATTATGTAATATTTTGGTCAACGTTAAATAATTATAAAAATAGTTTATATTTTAGACATACAAAAGTGGAATGAAGATGAAATATTACTATATATGGGCAACATGAAATTGTAATATTTTGGGAAGAGTCCGCTAACTTTCTAGAGTTGTAGAGTAACAAAAATTTTTGGATTGCGTTTTTAATGAAAACAAGTAAAATAGCTAAAGTCGGGTGTCCCGACTTTGAAATACTCTGTACATATGTTTACATATATACATACATACATACATGTACATATGTTACAATAATAAAGGGTGTATAATTGCACATATACAAAGCAATTGCGTCAATGTGAGTGTATGTATGTTTATGCGCGTCTATTCGTGTCTGTGTAAGCATTTTCGCAGTCAACCAAACAGCAACATCAACAACACCCGCGGGCAGCGCTTGGGCAGCGCTTGAGCAGCGCTGCAGCAGCAAATATTTTTATGGCTATAACTTCTTGTTAAATCGGTGTAAATCTTGGCGTACAGACACATAATTACTAACTGGGGGTATTTACAAAATTTTAGTTCGAAATTCCAAGAATTACGGGAGTTAGAGAAAATCGCAATTTGCGGGGGAGAGGGGGGAGGGAGGGAAATTCCAAAATACACATTTTCTGGGTATTCACAAAAGGCATCTGGGACTAAAATTTGGTCTCCGTACGTCTTATAGTCTCTTAGATATAGGGGATTATACAAATGGAAAATCGGGAAAACCCCCATAGGGAGGAAGTGGGGGGGAAAATGAAAAAAATAAAACAAACTTGCACAGCGTACACATATAACGCATCTTTGTGCCATTTGGTGTCTCTAGCTCTTATAGTCTCTGAGATCCAGGTGTTCATACAGACATACAGACGGACAGACAGACAGACAGGGCTAGATCGACTCGTCTCGTCATGCTGATCAAGAATATACATATATACTTTGTGGGGTCTGCCACGCCTCCTTCTGCCTGTTACATTTTTTAGCTCCCGCAAACCTAATATACTTCTGTACATTTCATGTACAGAGTATAAAAAGTGAAAAGTGAAAAAGTAAGGAAATTTTAATATTACAAACATTTTTTTATACCGGATAAACCTCATTGGGTATTCGGTCTAACGTAAATGGTTTAAAAGTGCACATTTACATAGGAATTGTGTCTATGTGCATCTATTCATGTTTATGTGTGGCTATGTATGCCTTGTATGTCTATGCAAAGCAGAAACAAAAACAACATCTGCGGGCAACGATTTGGCAGAGAGTACACTTAAAACAATAACTTCCTTTCAAATTGAGCTATTATAATGAAACTTGACGTACGGACTTTTTATACCCTGTACCCGTAGGGTAAAAAGGGTATATTAGGTTTGTGCAAAGTATGTAACATACAGAAGGAAGCATCTCCGACCCCATAAAGTATATATATTCTTGATCAGCATGACGAGAGAAATCGATCTAGACATGTCCGTCCGTCTGTCCGTCTGGATGAACGCGAGGATCTCAGAAACTATAAAAGCTAGAATAACCAAAGTTGGCATCCAGATTCTCCTAGGTCCGAGTAAGGAAGAAGTTTATTTTTTTTTTTTAATTTTCCCCCCCTTCCCCCGCCACAGAATTTCGTCAATAGCGTCCACATTTCAAATGCTACCTAAACCAAACTTTGCACACATAATTTATATATAATTGTCTACTGTTGTTTAATTCGGTCAATTCTAAGAAAAGTTATTAGCGAAACAAATTCTCGCCAGTACAACCTCCCCAAACTGCAGCAACAAGTTCGCTCTTCTTCTTCCTCTTTTTGCTGCTGCTATGGGCGCATATAACTCAGTGACGGAAGTTTACCTGGGTACAGGGTATTAACCTGTCGGGCTTGCTCGACTGTAGCGTTCTCTCTTGTTATTAGTAATTTGAGATATTTGCCAAATTTGGAATTTCAAGAATTACGATAGTTATGGTAAATAACTAATAGCGGGGGAGAGTAGGGACAGAAGGAAATTCCGAAATACATTTTTTTTGCGTATGCACACAATTCATCTTGTACTAAATTTGGGGTCTTAAGCTCTTACAGTCTCCGACGTATATTATACGAACGACGTATCCGAAATTCGTAGTGGAGGGGAAAGTCAAAAAAATAAAACAAACTTGCACAGCGTACACACATAAGGTATATTTTTGTGAAATTTGGTGTATATGAATAGCTTTTATAGCCTCTGAGATCCAGGTGATAATACAGACAGATGAACAGACAGATACTTATGTGTATTTCATGTACAGAGTATAAAAAGTGAAAAATGCTAAAATTCCAATAATTTAAGCTCCACTGAATACTACAAATAAACCAATTATGAAGAAGATTTTGTATTCGTTCATACAAACTTTTGAGCCTTTTTCTCTCTTAGGGGCCAAGATTTTCCAAAACCCCTTTGTCATCTAACATACACTTTGAAACGATACTTAAATCCAAATTCTTAGAGCTTACCATATGCGCAGTGTGGTGATCACCAATTAGTCAGTCAGTCAGGACAAACTGTTTTATATATGTATATATAGATGTACTACTATCGCAGTCCTAAAATATGTTCATAATTTTATTTATTGTTCATAGTCCATTTAATTCCATGGAATTGTGCTTTTTGATATTCACAGGTCAAACGCTACTTCATCTCGTTCTGGAATGGCGTTGATTTGCGTTATCGTCTGCTAAAAGGACCCAAAATACGAATAAGTATAGCCGGCATCATTATATCTCGCGTAAGTACTGGTGTTTCTTAGTTGTAAGTTAAAAAATAAATCCCATAAGCTTCAATGTCCATATCACCTGGAGTAATACACTTTTTGGCAAAACATTTCAGGGTCGCGATGCCACGCCCTATTTAGAACGCAATCGTGTAGGTCGCGATGCCATTGACTCAGCTGCAGCGCTAACCGATATGGGTAAATACTTGTTTCGTGAACGTCGTTTACCTGTGTACGATATCGCTGTGGCCATTACTAAGTGAGTATCAGCAAAAATATGGTTCGCTATAATGTTGCGGCATTTCTTCTTCCACGATAATCTTTTTTATTTCGTGCATTCTTATATTTTCTATGCTTTTTACCATCTATGGAAACATTTCCATTCAATAAATTCTTCAATCTCTATTCTTTACCTATTATGTCTACTTATAAACAGGTATGATATGTGTCGCAGGCGTAAAGGCGGCCGTTGCACCAAGGGCACAGCGGGTAAAGAACATTCCAACAATTTTTAGTACCAATAGTGGGAACATCCAAGCAACACGTATAAACACATACACAACACTTTATCATAGAAACACTGGATATCAGGGTTAAAATATTAACACCTTAGAGCTATGGGCAAAGGCGGGGCTTAACATACATTCATAAATATTTCGTTGTAATACTAAACTATATACTATATACATATGTATATAGTATATATCTTAATGTGTTGTATAGATTGCATAACATCATTATACACAAATAACTTATCTATAGAATATATACATACATACATATATACATGAATTTGCCACCAAACAGGATCAATCAGACATACTTACTTAATATTCATATGTGAACTAAATAAATACATGCATAAGGGGGTAGAGCGAGCAGTTTCAAGCTCAAGTGTTTGCTCATCTGGTACAAGAGTCTATATATTTATGTATAACAAAAGAGAACGGGCAAGCCCGACAGTAAAACAGCTGCGGGCAGAGCTACAAGCAGAGCACGGGCAGCAATTTTAGGAGGCGTGGTAGACCCCACAAAGTATATATATTCTTGATCAGCATAACAAGCTGAGTCGATATAGCCATGTCCGTCTGTGTGTCCGTCTGTCTGTCTGTATGAACGCAAGGATCTCAGAAAGTATAAGAGCTAGAACCAAACTTGGTATACAGATTCCTGATCCTCCTGAGACCGAGAAAGGACGAGTTTGTTAATTTTTTCTGATCCACCCCCCACTCCCCCCTATTAACGATTTTCAATAAATCCCGTAATTCTTGGAATTTTTAGCTAAAATTTGGTAGTTACATTAAGTTAGTGATTATATATCCGTATACCAAGTTTCATTATGATAGGGTGATCGAAAAGAATGTTATAGCCATATAACCAGGCCCAATGCACACATACATACATACAAGTATGTACAAGTACACCAACACGAATAGACACGATTCTGATGTAAATGTAAATGTATGTATGCATGTATGGAATATTTTATATTTAATTTAGTTAATTAATTTAGTTAATTAATTTAATTAATTAATTAAATTAATTTAATTTCTTTTTTGTGGGATGGTACAGGGTATTTAAGAGTTGAGCCTGCTCGACTTTAGCATTCCTTTCTTGTTTTTTCTATTATTTCCCCCCCTATGGGGGATTTTCGTTCGTATATATCTCGGAGACTATAGGGACACAAAATTTTAGTGAAATTTTATGTGAATACGCAGAAAATGTGTATTTTGGAATTTCCCTCCCTTCCCCCTCTCACCGCAATTCATGATTATCCATAACTCCCGTAATTCTTATGATTTTGAAAATTGGGAAATAAATTTGGCAAATACCTCCAGTAGGTGATTATGTGTCCGTCTACTAAGTTTCCTTATGATAGACCGATTTATCAGGAACTTAAAGCCATATATAATATTTGGCCAAATGTTGCATGCATACTCACACACACAGACACGAATAGACACGCATAGGCTTGCATGCACTCACATAGACACAATTCCTGTGTAAATGTCTAATTATACACCCTTAACTTGACTTCGAATACCAAGGGTAGCACTTTTTTTCTCTCTCTGATATTGTGCTTATTTCCAAGAAACAAAACAAGATAGAACGCTACAGTCGAGCAAGCCCGACAGTAAAATACCCTGTCCTCTCCACAAAAAAGGAAAATTTATGAAACAAAATTTAATTAATTAATTAAATAAAATATTAAATATTCAACACATTCATACATACATAATTTATGTACAATTACAATAGAAAAAATTTACATCAGAATCGTGTCTCTGCGTGTATGTATGTAACACATAGTTGAACCAAAGCAGCAAACGTATGTCCGTCCGTCTGCCTGTCTGTCCGTATGAACACCTGGATCTCAGTGACTATAAGAGCTAGACACACCAAATTTTGCACAATGGCCACTAATGTGTGTACGCTGAGCAAGTTTGTTTTATTTTTTTGATTAACCTACCCCCACCCCCCCCCACTTCCACCCTATGGGAGATTTCCCGATTTTCCATTCTTATAATCGCCTATATCTCAGACCCTATAAAAGCTAGGAACTCCGACATTTAGTCCCAGATGCCTTTTGTGAATACGCAGAAAATTTTGTATTTTGGAATTACCCTCCCTCTTTCCTCTCCCCCACAATCACTACTTTTCCATAAATTCCGCATTTCTTTGAATTTTTCATTAAAATTCGAAAGATACTTCCAGTTAGATTATTATGATTATCACTCCGTATGCCAAGTTTCAAAATGATAGGCCGATTTAACAGCAAGTTATTGCCATATATTTATACATACAGGGTGCGCCATCTTTTATGTCGGTATATAAACACTAAATATCTTTGAAAATAAACAACCAATTTTCAAGTATGAGATATTTTTATTTAATTTGGTTCTGTACAATTTCTTGAACTGAGGTTTTCAACACTGGTCTACTCAAGTCAATCGGTTCACTAATGACAAAGCCATTCAATATCTACACACCGAAGATGGCGCACCCAGTATATACCAAGCAGTGTCCGCAGTTTTTGTTGTTCTTACTGCTTTGCACTGGAACACGAGAAATACACAGACACACACAAACACTCACATACACGCATAATTATTCGATTGGCTTGAGGTTGGTTTGACTAGATTAGTTTCTTCTGCTAGTGAAACTGTAACGCTTGGCGAAATCTCTTTTGCTCGGCAGACATTTGCTCTTATGCTCTTAATTGTTTAAATAATCGTGATCGTCTGATAATTGGACACATGTAATATTTATTTTGATATCCAGGAATTGCAATAATGTGAGGGTCATCAATATTATAAGAACACTTACCTGCGTGGCGTCTAACTTTTTATATACATATTTTAATTTTGCTTTCATTTGCTCTTATGTTTATTTTCATATGTTGCATTGCCATTCGCCAAAACTTAGGTGTTTGAAAGCAACTCGATTCAAACAACAACCGTCATCTTTAGACCCCCACATACATATGTACTTTTTATATCTATACAATTAAATTATTCCAAGAAAGTGCAACATGCATTACTATTTTGAGAGTTTCACATAACCACCATATATTATTAGCGGAGCAGATAAGAGTCTTCTTTTCGTCATCAACTACTTCAATTCTTTAAACTTTTTACTATCATTGTAATGACCTATTTATGTATATATTTATATTTCCTGTCTACATATGTTTTAATTTCTTTTCGCAACCTATTTTCGATTTTATTTGTGACATGGTTACTACGATTACAAAACATATAAATAAAATCAAACAACATAATTATTTAAAAAACCTTTCGTCCGCAGACTTGATATGTGCCGTCGCACTTCTGCATATGGTGAATGTAATCGCGGTACTGCAGGTAAACATGAAAATAAATTGTTTGCAAGCCCGTAGCAAAAATATTAAATAAAATCAACATTAAGAAATATTTAAGACAAAACCCGTCGATGATATTTAAACTTTTATTTCAATACAAATACATGTACGTACTAGTAACCCCCGTGTCGTTACTATTTTCAGAATTTAAACCTAGCCTCTCTTACAAGTATTGTTAAAATAGTAATTTTGTTGTAGTTATGTATATTCAGTATGTGTAGTACGAGTATAGAAGTAGGTATAATCAACTTTTTTTTATGTATAATAACATATATTTATATATTGATTTTTTAATATTATAATTACTTTAAAATACATGCCACCTTAGCGCTTAGCTATATAACTCTTTTCTTGTTTATGCTCTGTACATGAAATGTAAAAGAAAATATTAGGTTTGCGGGAGCTGAAAAATTTAACAGGCAGAACAATACGAGTCGATCTACTTGTATGCCTGTCTGTCTGTCCGTCCGTCTGTCCTTATGAACATCTGGATCTCAGAGACTATAAGAAGTAGAGACACCAAACTTTGCACAAAGATGCGTTATGTGTGTACGCTGTGCAAGTTTGTTTTCTTTTTTTTGGTTTTCCCCCCACTTCCCCTTATGGGGGTGTAGAAGAAGTGAATCACTTCTTTCATTATAGCATTATACAAGTATAGCAGACCATTTTTTGCCTTGTTTAGGATAGCGTAAATGTAAGCTTTGAATATTAATTTGTAAAAGGGCCAAAATAATATCGTGAGGTACGCCAGAAGCTACATTAACAGGCTCAGAGATATTCGACCTAAGTAATTCTCTTTCTCTCATTTTTAAATGGTTATTCAACCGAATTCAGTAGATTTTATTGATACATCAATTTGAAGTTTGATTTATATTCGCATATATATTTTATACACATAAAAATGTTAATATAAGGGAAGTATAGTACATAAAATAGAAACCATCTAATCACAATTTTCTAATTGGACCTTTTAAAAACGGGTAAAGGACATGCACTAATTTAAGAAATTCGACACCATCACACAACAATACACCCTTCGAGCCAAAATCCTACAAGTAAATACAACTAATAATAGTATACCCATACATCCCACATATTTTCAATAATCTAATCAGTTGTGTGTTTCCACTCCATTTAAAATCCAATTACTTTTTATTAGGCTTTGCTTACGTCGGTGGCGCCTGCGTGGTAAATAAGCGATTGGAAAAGGTGAACAGTGTTGCAATCATTGAAGACACAGGCGGCTTTAGTGGCATCATTGTGGCAGCACACGAAGTAGGACATTTGTAAGTAATATGTATTCAATTAAATAATAGTGTAGTTTGGCTACAAATCGTCAAATATCATATACATTTTTCGTGTTCCAAAATGATCTCTGTTTCGTTTATATTTTATTTTTTATGAAGTTAAAGCACATATTTATTTGTAAGGAAAATTAAACTATATAAAATTGTAATATAGAAATACTATATACATATAAAAAAAAAAACAAAAACAAGAGAGAACGCTATAGTCGACAGTAAAATAGCCTGTACTCTCCACAAAATAAAAAAAAATTACAAAAAAAAATAATTACAAAAAAAATAATTAAATTATTAAAAAACAAGAAAGGAATACAAAAAAAAATATATTAAGAACATTTAATTAATTAATTAAATTAAATATAAAATATTCAATACATGCACACATTACATACATTTACATCAGAATGTATAATCATGCCAAAGCAGGAACAACAACAGCTGCGGGCAGAGCTTGGGCAGGGAATATATTTATAGCTATAACATCCTTCATAATTTACCTATCGTAATAATGGGAGGTATTTCCCAAATCTGAGTACAAAATTACGGGAGTTTTGGAAAAAACATCCTCGTCCTTTCTCGGACTTTCTTCTTGCGAATGTATGTAACATACAGAAGGAGGCGTGGTAGTATATATATTATTGATCACAATGACAAGTCGATATAGCCGTCTGTCCGTCCGTCCGTCTGTACGAACGCAAGCATTTCAGCAAGTACAAGAGCAAGAATATCCAAACTTGGTATCCAGATTCTCGTAAGTCCGAGAAAAGACGAGTTTGTGTTTTTTTTCTGATGCAACCCTCCCACCCCCCCCCCCCACTCCCCCGCAATTCGTGTTTATCCCATAATTCCCGTAACTTCCGTATCTCTTGGAATTGGAGAGGAATGGAGAGGGGGGGGGGGGGGATGCATCAGAAAAAAAACCAAACTCTGAATATCGAGTATGGTTATTCTTGCTTTTGTACATCCTGAGATCCTTGCGTTCATACAGACGGACGGACAGACGGACATGGCTATATCGGCTCGCATTGTCATCGTGATCAAGAATATATATACTTTGTGGGGTCTGCCACGCCTCCTTCTGGGTACAGGCTATAAAAATGTTTTTTTTTCATTTATTCCTTTTTGGTGGGAGGTACAGGCTATTTAAGAGTTGAGCCTGCTCGATTTTAGCATTCCATTCTTGTTCTAATTATACAAATGGACAATAGTATATGTATATACTTTGTATGGTCTGCCACACCTACGGTATTAAAGAAAAAATGTTCGTTAGAGAAAATTTTACATATTTCTATATTTCGAATTATTGTGTAAATAGTACCTAGAATAAACTAAATAAGTATTTAGTAATAAAAGCTTGTTTTGTTCACTTATTAATTCTTCATCATTTTCGTAGACTCGGAGCTGTGCATGATGGATCACCTCCACCAAGTTACCTAGGAGGGCCAGGTGCACAACGCTGCCGCTGGGAAGATGGTTACATTATGTCAGACTTGCGTCACACAGAGCGTGGCTTCAGATGGTCCCCGTGCACAGTGCAAAGTTTTCATCATTTTTTAAAGTAAGTGCAAGAATGTCTTATTTGATTGTTATTCTATAACTCACCTCTGCATAGCGGTGACACTGCCACTTGTTTGCACAATGCTCCTCATGAGGACAGTGCATTGGGACGCTCTTTGCCTGGAACTTTGCTGTCGCTGGACGCTCAATGCAGACGTGATCGAGGCACTTATGCGTGTTTCAAGGACGAGCGTGTATGCGCGCAACTTTTCTGTTTTGATGCACAGACAGGGTATTGTGTGGCATATCGGCCAGCTGCTGAGGGATCAGCTTGTGGTAATGGATATGTAAGTATATTTTGTTTTTGCAATAAATTAGCATTATAGACATTATAAGCAAACTTGGGATACTTTTTACCTTAAGAGTGATTTAGATGTTTTGTATTCAAGTTTAAACATATGTAAGGTTAGCTAGATTGTACAAATTAGCTAGAAACCAGTATTAAAACAAGATAGAACGCTACATGTTTATGTTCAGTTTTAACAGCATACATTTACATCACGTACCTATGCGTGTTTATATGCGTGTATGTATGCAACACAAAGTTGAACCAAAGCAGCAACAACAACAACAGCTGCGGGTAGCGCTGCCGGCAGAACTGCAGGCAGCGCATGAGCAGCGATTTTATTTATGGCTATAACTTTCTTCACAATTGACCTATCATGATGAAATTTGGCACACGGACACATTAGTACTAACTGGATGTACCTACTAAAATTGAGGCGTGGCAGACCCCACAAAATATATATATTCTTGATCAGGGTGACAAGCCGAGTCGATATAGCCATGTCCGTCTGTCCATCAGTCCTACTGTATGAGCGCAAGGATCTCAGAAGGTACAAGAGCTAGAATTACCAAACTTGGTATCCAGGTTCCCATAAATCCTAGGCAGGTCAAGTTTATTATACTCTGTACATGAAATGTACAAGAGTATATTAGGTTTGCGGGAGCTGAAAAATGTAACAGGCAGAAGGAGGCGTGGCAGACCCCACAAAGTATATATATTATTGATCAGCGTGACAAGACGAGTCGATCTAGCCCTGTCTGTCTGTCTGTCCGTCTGTCCGTCCGTATGAACACCTGGATCTCAGAGACTATAAGAGATAGAGACACCAAATTTTCCACAAAGATGCGTTATGTGTGTATTCTATACGAGTTTGTTTTATTTTTTTGATTTTCCCCCCCACTTCCCCCCTATGGGGGTTTTCCCGATTTTCCATTCGTATAATCGCCTATATCTCGGAGACTATAAGACCTAGGAACACCAAATTTTAGTCCCAGATGCCTTATGTGAATACGCAGAAAATGTATATTTTGGAATTCCCCTCCCTCCCCCCTCTCCCCCGCAACTGCGATTTTCTCTAACTCCCGTAATTCTTGGAATTTCGAACTAAAATTTTGCAAATACTCCCAGTTAGTAATTATGTGTCCTTATGCCAAGTTTCACTATGATAGACCGATTTGCCAAGAAGTTATAGCCATAAATATATTTGCTGCTGCAGCGCTGCTCAAGCGCTGCCCGCGGCTGTTGTTGATGTTGCTGTTTGGTTGACTGCGAAAATGCTTACACAGACACGAATAGATGCGCATAGGCATACATACACACACACAGACGCAATTGCTATGTAAATGTGCAATTATACACCCTTTACGTGAGTTCGAATACCGAGAGAGGTAAAATCGATCCAATTTTTTTTTCTTTTTTTTTTATACTCTGTACATGAAATGTACAAGAGTATATTAGGTTTGCGGGAGCTGAAAAATGTAACAGGCAGAAGGAGGCGTGGCAGACCCCACAAAGTATATATATTATTGATCAGCGTGACAAGACGAGTCGATCTAGCCCTGTCTGTCTGTCTGTCCGTCTGTCCGTCCGTATGAACACCTGGATCTCAGAGACTATAAGAGATAGAGACACAAAATTTTGCACAAAGATGCGTTATGTGTGTATTCTATACGAGTTTGTTTTATTTTTTTGATTTTCCCCCCCACTTCCCCCCTATGGGGGTTTTCCCGATTTTCCATTCGTATAATCGCCTATATTTCGGAGACTATAAGACCTAGGCACACCAAATTTTAGTCCTAGATGCCTTGTGTGAATACGCAGAAAATGTATATTTTGGAATTCCCCTCCCTCCCCCCTCTACCCCGCAAATCGTAACTCCCGTAATTCTTGGAATTTCGAACTAAAATTTTGGAAATACCCCCAGTTAGTTATTATGTGTCCGTATGCCAAATTTCATTATGATAGACCGATTTAACAAGAAGTTATAGCCATAAATATATTTGCTGATGCAGCGCTGCTGCAGCGCTGCTCAAGCGCTGCCCGCGGCTGTTGTTGATGTTGCTGTTTGGTTGACTGCGAAAATGCTTACACAGACACGAATAGATGCGCATAGGCATACATACACACACACAGACGCAATTGCTATGTAAATGTGCAATTATACACCCTTTACGTGAGTTCGAATACCGAGAGAGGTAAAATCGAGCAATTTTTTTTTTTTATTTTCTTAATTTTTTTATTTTCTATAATTATTGTAAACATATGTACAGAGTATTTCAAAGTCGGGACACCCGACTTTAGCTTTTTTACTTGTTTTATTTTCTATAATTATTGTAAACATATGTACAGAGTATTTCAAAGTCGGGACACCCGACTTTAGCTTTTTTACTTGTTTTTATATTCTAATACAACCCCACTCCCCCGCAATTCGTGTTTTTTTATAACTTCTGGAATTCTTGGAATTTTGAAATCAATTTTGGTAGTTTCATTCAGTTAGTGCTTATGTGTCCGTGTGCCATCATGATAGGTCAATTCTAAAGAAAGTTATACCCATAAATAGAATCGCTGCCCATGCGCTGCCTGCAGCTCTGTCGGCAGCGCTGCCCGCAGCACACGGCACACGGACACATTAGTACTAACTGGATGTACCTACCAAAACTGATTTCAAAATTCCGAGAATTACGGAAGTTATAAGAAAAAATACGAATTGCGGGGGAGTGGGGGGGTGTATCAGAAAAAATAAACAAACTCGATCTGCCTAGAGCTTATAGGAACCTTGATACCAATTTTGGTTATCCTAGCTCTTGTACTTACTGAGATCCTTGCGCTCATACAGACAGACGGACAGACGAACATGGCTATATCGACTCGTCTTGTCATCCTGATCAAAAATATATATACTTTGTGGGGTCTGCCACGCCTCTTCCTGCCTGTTACATACATTCGCACAAAACTAGTATACCCTTTCACCCTTTGGGTACAGGGTATAATGAACATTATGTAACAGGAATGTCCTGAAATGTTTTTAAGTTTAATTACCATAAATTATGCTGTAGTATACTATGTGGACTAAGAATTATGGACACATATTTAGTACTAGCAGGTATTGCCCGTCTTAACCCGGCTCAATATGTTTCCAATTGTATTTATTTTGTGTGTGCATAACCTACCCATATGTTTTCACCTTAAAGGTTACCAGTAGGAAGGCATTTAAGGTATTTAAATGAACATTTTCTGTTCTTGACAAAAAATTGTTCAGTAGTCCGTTACATTTTTGTTCTTGACAAACTATTTCGTTAAACGAACATGACCACTATAACTAATATTTTTTAAAGCTCGTTTTCCCCCCGTTGGAGCTAGAATTTTCCAAAAGCCTTTCTTAGTGTGCTCCTACACTATGATGGATACTATGAAACGATACTTGAGTCCAAATTTAAATTCACATTTGAGTCTTTTCGTGCCATATTGAGTCAATACGGCCACGCACAAACTCGGAATATGAAACACGGCACTCGTGTCAATGCCGTGCAGCGATAAGCCACGATCAAAAAGCACTGGCACCGATACCATCAAAATATCGAAGTTTGAATGCAATAAGCAGAATATTTAAATAACAAAATCTAATTATTTATTGACATCAATAAGAACAAATCATATACATACATACATCTGCCCGCAATGCGAAGCAAAATATGCGTAGCTCCGTTATTCGGTTTCTGCTTTACTTACGCTTACGCAGTCGTTGCCTAGCGACGGTAACTGTAACATTTTGGCGTTTTGCCTTTGCAATTAACATTAAATGGTCAAAACGAAAGAAGAAGAGCGAGCTAATGACTTGCAGTTGTTGTTGTTTTTAGAGCATTATTTTTTTTTACAATCAAACAACTGTGTTCGATTGCCCAATGTATACATTAATACGAATGTACATACATGCTATATTCATACACAGGCATACATACATATGTACATATGTACATATGTTTCTCTTTACTTTTTCAACCGTACTTGTGTGTGAGTGTGTGTATGTGATGTCCCCAACTATTTGATATTTGTTGTTGCTGCATAAAGTTATTAATGAAAACACTAATGCCAAATGCACTAAACAAAGAAAAAATTACTTTTAAAAATGTTATATTATATAATTTTCAATTAATTAACATTTCTTGCTCTGTCAGTGCAAGACGAATGTACATACATACATATGTAGATACATATGTACATACATAGATGTGCATATATGTATGGACATTCACACATTAGTGTCTCACATGTTGCAATGGCTATTTCAATCGTTTGCACGCAACTACACGAACAGCTGTTTGTATGTGTGTGTATGTATACTTAGTTGTCCCCAACTGTTTGATATTTTGTATTGTTTGTTCTGCCTGCTTTTGTAAAATGCATATTTTGAAAATCCTTAAATGCAAAGTTGTAGATTTAGTTACGTAGATTACATTATCCAAATTTTAAATCGATCGGACTAAATTTATAACACAAACTTTTCATTTGAAATAGTGAATAAATATTAATAATAATAATAATTCAATAATTCAAGCTCCAACACAAACGAAAATCCGAGTATGCAGTTTTGTTTGTATCCTTTAATTGATTTTAGAAACTAAGTTTTAAGTCGATCGGTTGAAAAATTCGGATTTTTCAAACAAACTTTGGAGCTCGTTTTCCCCCCTTTGGAGCTCGAATTTTCCAAAATCCCTTGGAGTATACAAACTAAGTTTGAAGTTAATCAGATGAAAACTGTCGATTTTTCAAACAAACTTTGGAGCTCGTTTTCCCCCCTTCTTAGTGCGCATCTACACCATGATAGGATACTTGAGCCCAAATTTCAGCATCCTAGCTTTTACCGTTTGGGCTGTGGGCTGTTGACGCGGTTTGCTTTTGTGCCCCAACATTTTTTTTACAGGAAAACTCCCATATTTTAGGCCCCAAAAAAAATATCAAGTATACAAACTAAGTTTAAAGTTAATCAGATGAAAACTGTAGATTTTTCATACAAACGTTGGAGCCTGTTTTCCGCCCTTTGGAGCTCGAGCTTTCCAAAATCTTAATGGGCACCTAGACTATGAAAGAATACTTGAGTCCAAATTTCAGCTTCCTAGCCTTTACCGTTTGGGCTGTGCGTTGATCACCAATCAGTCAGTCAGTCAGTCAGTCAGGACAAACTGTTTTATATATATAGATAATTAAGTTCTCATTATAATTAAGTATATGCTTTCTTCTGTTTTCTATTTTTATCATAAAGCATTGCTTGGATGGTCGCTGTGCGCCGCTTCCTTCGAACATTATACCAGACTACGGGCAAAACTATCATTTATCCTACAAGTAAGTAGAACAGCATATTTGTTGTATGTAAGCCTATTATAAGCTTTTTCGTAAAATAAGTTTTATTTACTCAAAAGATGCACACTTAAACCAAACATTTTTAAACCCTTTTATATCAATGCAATTACTACCTACAAATACTACCTACAACAATTATATCCAACAAACACAATATTTTATACATAAACCCACACACGTCACAACAGGATAAGCAATAATCGCAAAGTTGATGATGCATTGAAAAGTACGGATGATGTTGAAAGTAATAGCGAGGAAACTGAATCTAATAAAGATGACAATGAAAATATGAGCAACAATGAGGAAGACATTGAAGATCTTAAAAGTAATGAGGAATATAATGGTGAAGATAGCGAAAATAAGCTAGAACGAAACATTACAGAAATAGCGGCTAATAGTGCTTCCGTTAGAAATACAACTACAATAGTACATTCAAGAACAGCTCACGATGACGTCAAGGCTTTTGAGTTTTTACGGAAGCTGTTACGACAGGCTCATAACACTCACAACATCAACACGCGGCTAAGCAATGACGGCGTTGTATTTAAAACAAACAGTACCAGGGGTAGCCATGACAACAAAATTCAGCAAGAAAATACAAGTATGTTCTACTACAGACAAACTACAAAAATACCTGAGACAATTTCTAAAACCACAGAACCTACCAATATATATTCAAGTATATATAAGGAGGATGTTCGAAAGCAAATTGAATACTATATACACTTTTTAAAGCAATATGAAGTAAAACACTTAAATAAACCATTGGTACCTCGTACGTTTGATACAAATTATAGCGCAACAGTGAACAAGAACTATGGAATTAGTCACCAGAATAAAAATAGCAGCAAACAAGGACTCAACCTACTACAACAGCAAGGTAAAATCGATCTGGATAATGAAGCCAATACCGGTATTGATAGCAATGAAACAACTGATCTGGAAAAATGTAAGTTTCCCATTGAACAGCCAAATCACTTTATTAGAACACTTCAGAAAAGACGGCAGGCGGTACAAAAAGTGCAACAAACACTATCCATATCTGCGACGAATTGCAATGGCAATAATACCACAAATGAACATACAACGCCAGCTAACGAAAAAGCATTGATTACAGAACCACAACAAATGTCACAGTCATTAAATTTTAGCAACACTGTTACGACAATGCCCAAAAAACAAAAAATCAAAACACAAAAACTTCTGCGCCGCTCGAGAGTTATGTGAAATAATCTTGCTAAAATAAAAAGCGAAACTGCGCACCGTAAAAACGCATAAAATATCCTGTAAACACATCTAAATACATAAATACATACATATGTATACATTTAAAATAAGAATAGACCTCTGTGTACACCAGATTGGTTTTTGATGTTCGGTAAGCCCAACACATAGAACGTTATCTAAAAGTAGTAATAGTGCGTGCAACGCTTTGCATATATACTTACAAACTTATACCCATACCTAAACCCACATTAAATATTAGCATGAAGTTGCAAAACATACGGGAATTATATTAGTTCATACACCGATATATCTAAAAAAAAATAAACATATAATACATAACTGGTAGTTGAAGCTCGATGTACAAGTATATATACACTGGTTTTAATTTTCACGAAATGATTGGCCATTTCGCTGTATTATTATTATTTTTTTTTTTTTTAATTTTGATTCATTGACCTTCTTGGAAGTAGGAAATACCTTTACAATATTTTATCTTGATTGATTTATATATACATACCTATACGAGGGGTGTATGTGTCTTAGGGCTTACTTTCTTTTAGTTCCCGAGATACTTGCGTTCATACAAAAGGACTGGATAGATGGCCATCGACTTATCTTTGCATACTGATCAAGAATTTATATAGTACGTACTTTGTGGGGTATGAGTGTTACATATATTACCCTAAATTAAAGCCCATAGCTTTGGATTGCGAGTCCATGGATGCGTCGCAAAACGCGTATAGAAAAACCTTGACAAAGCTATCGAGCAACAGCATGTATATACATATGTATGTACATATAATATTACTAGACCTATATATGTACATATTTTTTATACTATGTAACTATGTACCTGAAAAGTAAAACAGTATACTTGAACTATAGTATTATGTTTGTGAAAAGTGCAAAATGTATCAGGGACAAGGATGCAGACCCCACAAAGTATATAATCTCGGATATTATAAGTTCTAGAGACACCAAATAATGCTCCCACATGCCATATAAATAAAAAAAGTTCAAAATTTGTCGAAATTCACTTCGTAATGTAATGAAGGTTTTTAGAGATATCTAGATATTCGAACTTCGCAATAATTATAATTATACAGGGTATAATTAAACTTATTGCAAATACAATTACAACTTAAAGTAGGAGTTTAGTCTTTGTATACCCTGTACCCAAAGGGTAAAAGAGTATATTAGTTTTGTGCGAGTGTACATGCAACACACAGAAGGAGGCGTGGCAGACCCCACAAAGTATATATATTCTTGATCAGGATGACAAGCGGAGTCGATATAGCCATGCCCGTCTCTCTGTATGAACGCAAGGATCTCAGAAAGTATAAGAAGAAGAATAACCAAACTTGGTATCTAGATTCTCCTACGCCCGAGAAAGCGCAAGTTTGTTCATTTTTCCCACTTCCCCGCAATTCGCGATTTTCTATAACTTCCGTTATTCGTGGAATCTTAAACTTTTTAGTAAATTTGCTTTTTGCTTTTTATACCCTGTACCCAAAGGGTACAAGGGTATATTAGTTTTGTGCGAGTGCACATGGAACACACAGAAGGAGGCTTGGTAGACCCCACAAAGTATATATATTCTTGATCAGCATGACAAGCCGAGTCGATATAGCCATGTCCGTCTGTCCGTCTGTCTGTCTGTATGAACGCAAGGATCTCCGAAAGTATAAGAGCTAGAATAACCAAACTTGGTATACAGATTCCTGATCCTCCTGAGGCCGAGAAAGGACAAGTTTGTTCATTTTTTCTGATCCACAACTTGTTTGAAATAATTTTTTTTAATTTATCCTTTTTTTGTACAGGGGTACAGGGTATTTTACTATCGGGCTTACTCGACTGTAGCGTTATATCTTGTTTTTTTTTTTTTTTTTTTTTTGGTGGGGTGCTACAGTGCATTTAATAGTTGAGCCTGCTCGACTTTAGCATTTCTTTCTTGTTTACATTTCATATTGTTTATAACTTAAATAAACCAATTGGCAAGGTCAATAGGGTGTGACCTCTTCAGCATCTTTCGCATTACAAATCGTCATTTTAAATGCCGATTCAACAGTATTGTGAAACTTCCTCATTGAGGACGTCACTAACTTTCTGTACTTTTAGGTCCTTTTCTTTGTTTGCCGTTTTAGCATGCTGATTAAACAAATCAAATGTTACCATAAAACTTAATAATTGTCCTCCTTAGGACAGATCTTAAATAGAGAATAAATAAAAGATTTTTTAAAAATAATAATAATATGGATATTATTCATTCAAGTATTAACCATGATTTTTACTTTATAACCCTTTGTATATTGTGGTATATCGTCTAATACAAAGCGTGTTTTTTTCATATTTATTATTATTAATAGTTTTATAATAATAGATTAAAATACAAAAGGAATCAGCTGCCCAGCGTCATACTATTTTGATCCGAATGCAGCAGGTATTTATGTTTCGTTGTTTGTGCTCTGCGTATTAAGTGATATATTATGTGTTAGTTATTGATATATATGTATGTAGAAAATGTCAAATTGGTTTATGTTTTTATTTAATATTATTAATTTCAAGCTCCTTTGGTGCATTTTGGTTTTTCATGTTTATAGTTTACATATTTATTAGTTTCAATTTTTCGTATAGTTGATTCTAATGATCAAAAGGGGGCAACGCGAAGCCTTAAGTTATGAAAAATATTGAGAAACGCTTGCAAAGAGAAGTTCAAAATAATCGATTCAAAATATGGTTGTCACTACTTTATGCATATACAAGTATAGTACACGTATTTTGCATTTATTTTCAAATTTTCTTACAAACTTGATGTACAAGTCCCTCAAAGGAAAAGCTTGTTATGAAAATAAAAAAATAAAAATTCAAACAGAATTTCTTTTAAAAATGGGATCGATATTCGACAAGGCTTAAAGTGGTGAGAGCAGAACATCAAATGATGGAAATACTTTTCAAAAATGCTAGCTTCCCGCTCAAGAAGTTTTTGGCCTGTTAGAATGATATATAATATATCATATTATACTACATACTACAGTTTAATATCATATGGCTTTATTTTTTTATTACCAGGATGTAGGGTTCGTTCGTATTCGGTTGGTTACATGGAAGCTATATGATATATAGGTGCAATCTGGATCAAATTTGGTCAGCTGACGTAAAATCTCCTTAAATGGATACTAACCAAATTTAGTTCAATTCGGATAAAACACAAAACAAATGAATGTACTAAGAGTTTATTCTGAATCGGTCAGTTATATGGGAGCTATATGATATAGTTCTCCGATCTTGACGATTTTGACATATTGTCATCTTACTATAAATCAAAGCCTATGTCAAAAATTTCAGCACGATAGCTCTACTGTATCTTTTTTTGTCGCTTACTCCCCTTTTTCCTGAGTGACTATCACATAGTGTTTTTATGACACAAGATATGTGTTTTCGACTAATTCTTTGTTGCGTTGATGCTAATGTTCCAGCGCTTTACCCACATTTCGAAGCTCTTCAAATACTGCTGCAAAATATATGTGACTTTATAAAGGCAGTTGTTTCTGACGAGAAGGTCATTCGGATCTTCGATGGGAATCATAGAGCCAGTGGGCATATCACGTATAAAAAGGGTATAAAGGGGGGGCCCAAAACACTACCGTTCGGAACTCCTGATCTAATAACCCAGACACTAGACTCTTCACTATCCAGCACTACCGTGAATGTCCTGTCCGGTAGCTCCGTACTATTCAGTAAAGTTGAGGGCAGGAATGGTTTGATTTTGGCCCGAAGGCCATTGCGCCAGACTCTGTCGAAGGCCTGCCCTATATCCAAATACGCCGCCACCATGTACTCCTTAGTCTCAAATCCCTCAAGCATCAAAATTTAAAACTCTACTTAATTGCTCACGTCAAACAGAAGATTTATTTTTAACTTTCATTTAATTCATCCATTTCGGTTGAATTTTATGGGTATAGATTTGGATTTTTTAAATTATTTTTAAAATTTTTGTAATTTATTTTTTTAATTAAATAAAAACAAGAAAGGAATGCAAAAGTCGTGCGAGTTCAACTCTTAAATACCCTTTACCTCCCTCAAAAAAAGGGAAACAAATTTTTTTAATTAATTTTATAAAATTATATTATTTAAATTATTTAATTAAATTAAATACAAATTATACAATTACATATATACAAAAGCGTTCATGTACAGTTCCAACAGCATACATTTACATCAGAATCGGGTCTCCGCGTGTATGTATGTAGCACAAAGTTGAACCAACGGAGTTACGGAAAGCACGGATTGCGTGGGAGTGGGGGCCTATAAAGAAACACAAACTCGTCCCTTCTCGGACTCAGGAGAATCTGGATACCAAGTTTGGTTGTTCTATCTCTTATACTTTCTGAGATCCTTGCGTACATACAGACGGACAAACAGACGGACGGACAGACAGACGGACATGGCTATATCGACTCGGCTTGTCATCCTGATCAATAATATATATACTCTTGGGGGTTTGCCACGCCTCCTTCTGTCTGTTACATATGTACATTCGCACAAAACTAGTATACCCTTTCACCCTTTGGGTACAGGGTATAAATATTGAATACACACATACATGGGTGGAGACATATTTTAATGTACAGTTTCAGCAGCATTCATTTACAACAGAATCGTATATATGCGTGCTTTTGCAAGTGCATGTGTGCAGTACAATATAAAGTCAAAGGAGCAACAACAGCAACAGCTGCGGCCAGAGCTTGTGCAGATGTTATATAAAACTTGCACGCACAAAACTAATATGAAATCAAACAAATTTAAAAAAAAAAAAAATCGTATAACGTACACACATAAGGCATCTTTTAGAGGTCTCTAGCTCTTATAAACTCTGAGATCCAGGTGTTGGACGGACAGATAGACAGACAGACAGAGCTAGATCGACTCGTCTTGTGATGCTGATTAAGAATATATATACTTTGTGGGATCTTCCACGCCTCCTTCTGCCTGCTACATTTTTCATCTCCCGCAGACCTAATATACTCTTGTACATTTCATCTACAGAGTACAAAAACAAGAAAGGAATGCTAAAGTCGAGCAGGCTCAACTCTTAAATACCCTGTACCACCCCACAAAAAAATAAATAAATTAAATTTAATTAATTAATTTAATTTAATTAATTAACTAAATTAAATAAAAAATATTCCATACATGCATACATACATTTACATTTACATCAGAATCGTGTCTATGCGTGTTTGTGTACTTGTACTTGTACATATGTATGTACGTGTGCATTGGGCATGGTTATATGGCTATAGCTTTCTTTCTGATCAACCTATCATAATGCAACTTGGTATACGGATATATAATTACTAACTGGATGTGTCTACAAAATTTTAAAATTCCAAGAATTACGGGAGTTATAGAAAATCTTGAATAGGGGGGGAGTGGGGGTCGCATCGGGAAAAATGAACACTCGTCCTTTCTCGGGCTCAGGAGAATGTGTATACCAAGTTTGGTTATTCTAGCTCTTATACTTTGTGAGATCCTTGCGTTCATACAGACGGACGGACGGACGGACAGACGGACATGGCTATATCGACTCGTATTCTCATCCTGATCAAGAATATATATACTTTGTGGGGTCTGCCACGCCTCCTTCTGCCTGTTTCATACATTCGCACAAAACTAGTATACCCTTTCACCCTTTGGGTACAGGGTATAAAAATAATATACTTGATGAACTTGATATTCTATGAGCAGTTCATTTAAAAATAGTCTCATGGCTATTTGCTCACTCTTTGCTCATGGGCAACTCACACAGGAAAAATTTATATACATATGTATAAAACAAGAAACGAAGCTGATGCCAAGATGGTGGACCGCCGCAGCATTAGGAAAAATCGACCTATCTAGTGTTAATTTTTGGGAAGCTGCAAGGCATAATGTTGTGAATAAAATACCCACTTCAATACATTGCCATACCAAATGATGCTTTGGTACAAATGGAAACATGGTCATTCACTGCTACACACCACTTTGCATACACATAGCAATAGATTGTAAAATAAATTTCTCACCCCCTCACGCCTGCTTGGTATAAAAGGTTCTATCCTCAAATACGATCAAAATTTCTAACTCGTTTTTTTTTTTTTTTTTTTTTTTTTTTTTTTTTGTATTTTAAGCCTTCATAAAAATGTTAATACATAAACCAATTGGTAAAAAGAACGCACATATACAAAAACATATACATACATATGTTTCTACATACAAACGCGCTTCCGATTGTGCAAAACAAAAGAATTAGGCGAATTAAATAATACTTCTAAATTCTGGCATTTTTTGGAAACAGGAGCAAAGTGTGCTTGTTTTTCATACGAACACAAGTGCATAACATATACACGATCACAAAACATTTAATTCATAAGAGTATGCACATACATACATATCTAAACTTTTGCAGAAGGCATGCAGTAAAAATCGCCTAACCTAAACAGAAGAATACTTAATACAGCGACATTTGGCCACAATTGGGATCTCGAATTTTAATCTTATGCATGCATACACATACATACATATGTATGTATGTCCATAAAATAATTTACATACATATGAATATAGATATGTAGAATTATTGGGCGAAGGTATTTTTACAAACATGCATCATATAACGAGTAAAAAATAAATGCGGACATGAAATTCCTTCAGATCCCACAACACAAATATAAACAATACATACTTTTTATTTTTTATACATTTTGAATTCTTTATATTTTTTATATAAAACTCTAATATGTATCGTCTTATTTTTTACGTTTGCGCAGTGGTTAACTGGAAGCTGTTTCGGTTCTAATACAGAGCTGCCGCAGGAACATTTGATAATTTGGTGTTAGCTATGCCATTATAATTTCAACAATTCAAAAAATGTAGATATAAATTATTGTTATAAATATGCTTGAGATTTTTAAGGTTATGATTAAATAAAATTGTACACAAATCCAAATACCAACCAACAGTATGACATTTATCAATTGCAAAACAAATAACAACCGGAACTTCTGACCAGTTAAATTCTTGTATTATCTTAACCTCGTGCCGACATACAAGGAATTAAGGTTTCATGGAAAGATCACCAAGCACATAAAATTAAAAAATTACAAAAATTAATGTGATAATTATTTTTGTATAAATATTGTATTTACCAAACCTAAAATCATTGTTAACACATTATTGGAAAAAGCAAAGAGCATCTTCATAGCACTGCCGCACTCTGCTTATAATAAAACTTCAACTTCCGTTTATTCATGCTTAAAATAATAGTAACGTTATACTATATTGTTATTTTAAAGCTCATTTTTAAGCAATAGTAGATTAAATGTATAGTCTGATAAGGTACTAAATAATGTATATTTGAAGTAAACATAAATTTTCAATAGGCGAACTGTATATTTAGAGCATACAAAAATGATTAATTATTCTAAACAATACAAATTATATTTCATAAAATATTACGCCCCAATTTGTTCACATATGGATTACTAAGTAAAAATTTGGTCACATTTCAAATTTGGAAATTATTTTTAGACTTTACTATAAAAAAATATAAAAGAAAACGTTCTGAAACATTACGGTATGTAATAGTATGAAGAGTGTGTTAGGAAGTTGTACAACTTATACATCATCTTCTTCTGGAGGAATGTGTTACTTAGCCTACAGAAGCCAAAACGCACATACATATGTATACTATGTATATATTAGTATACCATTTGAATGTATGACATCGGTGCTTTTGTGAATTCTGTCATTATTTCTTTTTAAATAATTGACTGTTCCACAAAACTTGAATATGTAAGTAAAAATGTCAGCTCAGTAAAATTAAAAGCATTTTATAACTTAAATGTCCTTTAAAATCCTTCAAATTAACAAAAAGCTATTCCTCTACTTCAGAGAAAATATTTGTATTCTCCCATTTATTTTAAAATTGGTAAATAACTTTCATAATCCAATCAAAATAAAAATTTGTCCGAAAATTTTTATGATCATCTCTACCGGGTATTTTACATTTTTACTTTTTTAATGACTTATCCTTTGAGAATCCGCCAGTAAGTATCCGGTTGCCTCTAGTAACATCGCAAAAAGTAGACCACAACAATCTACCAGGATCGCCCCTCAAAAGGATCTGGTGCCATCCTGCTCGGCGTACATGATACACGCTTCAACCAAACGAGCAGGAGCTTGACATGACCCCTTGATCATTGACCGGACCTGCGCTCGATCGGCTAATGAAAGTGCAGCGGCTAAGGTATTAGAGTTTTAAGACCCATCAGACGCATGGCTTCTAAGGTGTCCACATAACATCCCCGCAAATGTTACTTGCGATATCCCCGCGAACAGAATTCTTCATATAAAAGAGTGTGTGCAATTTTTTGCTAACCAAAAATATATACAAGTTCAGGAAACTCTTTTCTAGTGGACATTTTTACGAAAATTTTTTTTGGCTCCTCAAACTCCTCATCTTGGATGATGGATTTATTTGGACGGCAGGACCTGCGAAATCTTGTACTTCCTCATAAAAGCACTAGCTAGGCACTTTTGAGGTGGACTTAGCGACATTGCTCCGAAGACATATTTATGTCATTTTCAAGTGTCATATGTGGAAAAGAAGAGCCAACGCTATAATAGAGCAAAACCGACAGTGAAATACCCTGTACCCAAACAAACTTCCAGCCCTGAGTTGTATAGCAGAAGCAAATAAAACAAGAGAGAACGCTACAGTCGAGCAAGCCCGACAGTGAAATACCCTATTTACCCTACGGGTACAGGGTTTAAAAAGAGCGAGCTTGAACCTATAGTTTGTGGTGTAGTACTGGAGTGGAACTGCACCCATGTGTTCTTCATTTAGTTGCCCAAATAAATAGTCATGCCAGCAATAAATTATGAATATATAATAAGAGAGAACGCTACAGTCGAGCAAGCTCGTGAACTACCCAGTACCCACTCCCACAAAAAAGAAATAAATTAAAAAGAAAAATATTTCACAAATTAATTGAAAACAAGAAAGGAATGCTAAAGTCGAGCGAGCTCACCTTTTATATACCCTGTATCTCCCAGAGAAAAAAAAAAATTTTTTTAATTAATTTCAACAGCATACATTTACATCAGAATCGATCAATTTCTCTTGTCATGCTAATTTAGGTAAAAAAAAATCAGATGCACTCCACAATAACTAGGCGACCGTCGTATTAGACTTGACCCACGAAACTGATGTTAGAGATCTTTAACGTGATAAGTAAAATTTTATACCTTAATTGCTCATCTTTTTACGCAAAATCGAATTGACAATCAATGCTTGCATTTTAAATGCGAGAATAACATATATGAAATTTACGTGCTGAAAATCCTTACGCAGTACCAAACAAGAGAGAACTCTACAGTCGAGCAATCCCATCAGTACCTATATCCTATACTCAGCCTAACATCTGGCACTGAGTTATATGCGTTCTTAACAGAAGCAAAATGGAGAAAAAGAGCGAACTTGATGCTGCAGTTTGTGGGCGTAGTGCTGGAGTGACATTGTTTCGCTTATAAGGTAAGGAAATTGTAAATAAAATACGTAGGCCTAAAAATGTGGACAGTATTGGCGAAATTCTGTAGCGGGGGAAGGAGGCAAATAATAAAATACACTGATCCTTTCTCGGACCTAGAAGAATCTGGATACCAAGTTTGGTTATTCCAGGTTTTCTAGTTTTTCAGATCTTTGCGTTCATCCAGACGGACGGACATGTGTAAATCGATTCGTCTCGTCATGCTGATTAAGAATATATATACTTGTACGTACTTTATGGTGTTCAAAATGCTTTCTTCTGCCTGTTATATACTTTGCACAAGCCTAATATACCCTTTTTACCCTGCGGGTACAGCCAGAGTGGATTAGACACAACCTGCTTCTATGCGATCTCGAGATGAAAAGAAAAACCAGGATGCCAAGGCTAAGCAAGAAAACGTTCCTTTACGCAAATCGCTTTACCGCTTTTTTGACATTTTTTTTTTTGATAGGTCAGGGCTTAAGAATGGACCACTGACAACTAGCAAATATTGCCACTAGGCAATAAGGAAAATAACCTAATAGGTGCCCAAAAGCCGTACTGCTGAAGTAAGCTAACTTTTTCTTCATTATAAGAAAAAGTAAGTAACAACTAACGTCCAAAAAAAAGGAAATAATTAATCATAGGCAGTTGCCTTTAATTTAAAATTAATTCAAAAACAAGCAGTGTGTAATTTCAAACAGTCAAGCACTGCATGAATAAGGAATGGAATAGACATTACGATATTCGCTACCAATGTCGTTAAAAATTGCCACCTGCTATATTCAAGCTTGTGTTTCACTGCAAACGCAAATTATAGATCCTTTCGTTCCTTTGCTGCTTCTTCTTCATTATATCTAGAGCCTTACTGAGCACAATATCAAGCGAATAAGGCGCAACGCATTGAGCAACTTGTACGTTGAACCAGAAGTCATCAGCCAGAGTGGACAGTAAAACGTAAAGCGCAGCAGATACTGCTCAAATTCTCATCCCAGTTTTTTTTGATTCTGACGAATATTAAATATGATATAACTGAACCAATTAGCGTTCCGAGTTTGCCTACCGCTTAAAGTGAATGGAAAATTTTATTTCCCATCATGAATTTCTGAAATACTTCAGATTAAACTTGGATCCATTATCCGAAACGATAGTCTCTGGCACCCCAGCATTTTCTGCATTCAATTTTTATACCCTGAACCCTGTAACGACGCGTTACGTAGCGGGCAGCCGTGCGTCGTCACGATGCCGAGAGTAGTTGAAGTAGTAATAAGTATTTGTAAGTAGTTGTAAGCCATGAAGGAAAAGTAGTTTTTTAAGTTCTTTGAATAGTGAGTAGAGTTAGTCTTTTTTTTGTTTTTGCCCAACGCGCACTGAAGCGCGGGTTGTACAATTTTTAGTTTAAATAAAAAAACACGTGGAGCAGATTTCGGCATACCGCCCTCTTTTATTCAGCGGACGCCTCAGCACTTTGGGGTGCCTAATATTTATTAAATTTAACGAACTCTGGCCGGCGAGCATAACCGCGGCAGAGTAAGAACCTTACAAGTGGCGCCCGAGCAGGGACCCCAAAGAAGTTTGAGGTTAGATCCGACCATGTAGAGAAGAGAGCGTGGACCTACGATGCTACGAACGAGCTGGATACGTGTGCTGCGGAAGGAAGAGCTCAGCGCGGTGCTGCGCGAGTTCGAAATCGAGGAGACCGGCAACGTGGAGGCGTTGCGGTCGCGGCTGTCCACGTTCGTGAAGTCGGCCAAAGAAGAGTACCGACCCCGCCTGGAAGAACTAGCGGCATATCACGAAAACATGTCGTCGCGTACCGCGGCGGCAGGCCAGTTGAGCCCGGTGCCGGCGGACGGCTGGGAGTCTCGAAACAAGAGGACGTACCGGAGGGGCTGCTCGTCGCGACAGAGGCAAACACGACACCAGCCGTGGTCCCGGTGAGAGCTGCATCGCCGACCCCAGCGTGGACGACATCGCTAACTCCAGCGACAGTGCCGACCATTTCGGTAGCGGTCGCGGCATCGCCTGAAGCTGCCGCAGCCAAGCCCACGGCAGCCTCAGCGACGCCAACAGTGGCTCCAGTGCTCTCAACGGTGGACCTGGCACAAGCAATTGCCGATTCGATGACAGTTGCGTTGGCACAGTACACCCACCGGTTGGCCCAGACTATGGAGGATGGTTTCCAGAAACTGTCGAGCCAGATCTGCGCTTCCACCGCGTCTGCTGCTCCTGCTGGTGATGCACCTGACGAAGATGACCCAACGGCACCGACTCCAGCGCCACCGCTCGCGAGTGCGCTGGCGGTGGCAGAGCAACATGCGCCAACATCAGCCGAACGAGACAGACGAGCCGCGTTGCAGACACAGGTAGAACGTTCCTCCGGGATCTGGAAGATAAGGCAGAGATGAGCAACGTGCGATTAGAC